AACAAAAAAAAACCAACTTCTAGAAACTAACATTTAAAACAAAATTTATCACACAGCAGTGTTGTGAGATAAAAAAAAAAAATTTAAAAATTTTATTTAGAGACAAGGTCTCACTCTGTCATCGAGTCTAATGCACAATCACAGCTCACTGCAGCCTCAACCTCCTGGGCTAAAATGATCCTCCAACCTCAGCCTCCTGAGAAGCTGGGTTGACAGGTGTGTGCCACCATGCTCTGCTAATTTTAAAAACATTTTTGTAGAGATTGGCTCTCGCTGTGTTACCCAGGCTAGTCTCAACTCACGGGCTCAAGCAATCTTGCGAGTCAGCTTCCCAAAGTGCTGGGATCACACATGTGAAGCCACCACCTCGGTCTGAACAATACTTTTGGGATACTTTTGGCAATTTACGTCTGTTACTTGAATACCCAGGAGTTTGAGGTTGCTGTGAGCTAGGCTGACGCCACGGCACTCACTCTAGCCTGGGCAACAAAGTGAGACTCTGTCTCAAAAAATAAAAAGAAAAAAAATAAAAAAAAAGGAATCTGGCCCACTTAGGGGAAAAGATATTGGGAACTGATGGTGGTAGCTCATTACTTACATTGGCAAAATATGTATTTGTCTATTTTTATTTCTTTTTGCTTGGAATGAAATGTCTATTGAGAGAAAGTCTTTGGGAAACCAAGTGGCTGTTACAATTGATTGTTATAATAGGAATAATAAAAAGGACTTTGGTTAAAAAAACAACGGGTGCCTTGCAAAAACTAAGTGATGGTGACGCGACAGAGGCTGGAGAACAGGCTACCTCTGTGGTGGCGGGAGAAGGGACGCTGCCTGGGAAGGGCACGAGGGAGGGTCATCAGGGGCTGCACCAGTATACACATATGGGACAATGCACTGAGCAGGAGGGAGGGTCATCAGGGGCTGCACCAGTATAAGGATGTGGTGGATCAGTTTCCGTTGCCGCGAAAGGCGCGCTGCATTCTTGCACTCCGAAGGGTTTGCGGCCCTTGGCCGCCCCCAGGCCGCGGCTGCAGTGTCGTGCGCATGTGGAGCGCAGGGCGCGGTAGTGCTTCAGGTCCTCCCCCCACAGCCGCACACGGTGTCGGGGCGCAGAAGCATCCACCAGCTCCGCCGCGCTGCTGCTCACATACTCCGACTGTTTTTTCTCCGATGTCCTTGCCGGGTGTGCCTTGAGGTGCTTCTTGCGCAGATCCCTCGCAGTTGGCCTTGACAGTGAAGGGGTAGTGCCAGATTTGCAGATGTAGGGCCCCCGCTGTGAGTGCGCAGGTGGCGGATGAGCGCCGCCTGTCCGCTGATGTAGTCGCAGATGTTGCACTGTACGGCGAGAATGCCCAGGTGGGAGCGCACGTGGGCCCAGCACCCCGGAGAAGGCGAACACCTGGGTTGCAGAAGCGGCAGGGGTAGAGCACCTTGCGCATGGCGGCGCTTCTTGCCACCGGGCGCTGTCATGATGGCCTTGAGCTCCCCCTCGTGATCTCTTGCTTGATCTTGGCTCCATACTCAGCGGCAGCAGGGCCTCGATGATACTGTCCTGCTCCAACTGCGTCTTCATCTCAGGCTGGCCGGCAGATCCACCCGCGGCTGCTGCAGGAAGAGCTGCGTGCTGCGTTTGGCGGCGCCCCGGACTTGGACTGCACAGGTGCGCGTTGGAGGCCGTTCCACGAGCCTTTGAGGAGCTTCAGGGGTGGTGCGGAGCTGGGGCTGATGCAGCGGGCGAGGCCTGCTGGGCATTGATGAGAGGCGGGGCGTGGAGGTGGCCACCACCGTCCGTTGGTGTGACCAGGGGCTTTGGCTTCCAGAGGAGGCATGTGCTTAAAAATCGCCTGCAGGGCTGGCGGGGGCCTTGGAGAGAGGCGGAAGACTGATCTTGAGGGGGGAGCGAGGCCGCATCTTCAGAATCTGCTGGATGTCAGCAGCCAATGGCTGACCTCCCCAGAGATAGGCTTGACCACGATGCTACTGTCCGGCTGGATGATGAAGCCCTTCTGGAAGGGCTGCAGGGACAGATGCTTCATGCTCTCCTTGGTTGCAGGAGGACCGTGAAGAGAACCGCCCAGGGAAGCAGCCTCAAAAGGAGACAGACTCAGCACGCTTGGTGCAGCCCGGGTCCTGAGGTAGCTGACACTTGAAGTGTCTGGAGCTGTATTGCTTGGTTGTCATCTGGCAGGGGCTCCTCGTGGGGGCAGGCCTGATGTCTTTTGGTGTGTGCACCAGCAAGGCCAGGAAGACCTTCGTGTCCGGGGCATCACCAGGCAGGGTCTTGGCCTGCAGTTTCTCCTGGCCCCGTCCGCAGCAACGTGGTCTGCTTGTGCAAGGCAGCGAGGAGACATGGGGAACGGGACGCCTGTCACAGGTGTCACAGACGAAGCGGTGCTGCTCGCTGATGCACCTTCGCAGGTTTGTTTCACACCAGGCCTGTGTGGAAACCACCAGCAAAAAGCAAGGGCACAAAGGTGAGGATTGAGAAAGAAACCACTAAACACAGATGCAAAAAATATTTGTTGTACAACTGTCCCCGTATACTGCCTTTCCTCATAATATAAAGGAGGTGACTGCTTGCTTCCTAACCCCAGACTGATAAAGAAAGCCACAAAACATCTTAAGAATCTTATTTGTTGATGAATGACATCACTCCCAGGGTATCTCACCAGAGGTCCAAAGTAATTTAGGTAACATATCATGAAGCTAGAATTAATTCTTTTAAAAATGGGTGCATTCATTATAATTTTGACTAAATGATACAAAGCAATTCATGTAATCAAAACCTTGTACTCCCGTAGTATTCGAAATTAAAAAAAAGAAAAGAAGAGATTTCCAGAAAATAATTCTCAAGAAAGGAATCTGCGGGTGCGGTGGCTCATGCCTGTAATCCTAGCACTCTGGGAGGCCAAGGCGGGAGCTCACTCGAGGTCAGGAGTTGAAACCAGCAGAGTAAGAGCGAGATCCCATCTCTACTAAAAATAGAAAGAAATTAATTGGGCCAACTAAAAATAAATAGAAAAATTAACTGGGCATGGTGGCGATGCCTGTAGTCCCAGCTACTTGGGAGGCTGAGGCAAGAAGGATTGCTTGAGCTCAGTGAGTTAGGCTGATGCCATGGTACTCTAGCCCGGGCAACAGAGTGAGACTGTCTCCAAAAAAAAAACAAAAAAAAAAAAACCAACTTCTAGAAACTAACATTTAAAACAAAATTTATCACACAGCAGGTGTTGAGATAAAAAAAAAAAAATTTAAAAATTTTTATTTTAGAGACAAGGTCTCACTCTGTCATCGAGTCTAATGCACAATCACAGCTCACTGCAGCCTCAACCTCCTGGGCTAAAATGATCCTCCAACCTCAGCCTCCTGAGAAGCTGGGTTGACAGGTGTGTGCCACCATGCTCTGCTAATTTTTAAAAACATTTTTTTGTAGAGATTGGCTCTCGCTGTGTTACCCAGGCTAGTCTCAAACTCACGGGCTCAAGCAATCCTTGCGAGTCAGCTTCCCAAAGTGCTGGGATCACACATGTGAGCCACCCCACTCGGTCTGAACAATACTTTTGGGATACCTTTTTGGCAATTTACGTCTGTTACTTAGAATTATTATTTATATTTGGGTGTTTCTCCAGAACAGCTGACAATTTTAGTGCAAATGAAATTTAAAAAATAATTCTACCACCACCCATTGTAGATTTTCAAAATAAACAGGGGAAGATTCGACCACCTTAGCGAACTGAAAAAAAATGACCAATATCACAATTTGCAATATTTCTCTTTAAGAATATATGGCAGCCAAAATAATTTCAGAGTGATCAAAACTTAAATAGCTGAACTAAAGACACCAGATGGAATGTCCTGTGTCAAAGCACCGAGCTCATTATGCCCCAATACCTTGACACAAACAAAGTCCTGATTCTCTGGAGCCACCTCCATGCTTAACCAGTAGATAATCACCCCTCGCCCAATACTTCCCTTCACAGCAGCCCTGGGAGGGCTCAGCCCATGGACATAGGCCACTGTGGGTACCAGAGCACATGAGAAAAACTCACAGCACCATCAAGCAGCCTGTGGCCTCAGACACTGAGGAAGAAGCGAAGCTAGGAGTGAACGGAGTTGGGAGGAGGGCCCCTCGCTTTCCACCCTACCCCCTGCTCTCCTGCTGGCTGGAGCACGGCCTCCCCCAGGAAGTAGGACTCACCGCCTGGGACCCCAGCGGGCCCTCTTACCAGTGTGTGTGAGCATGTGCCTCTGCAAGGAGCTGGCCCAAGGGAAGACCCGGGGACAGTGGGGACAGTTGATCTTCTGCAGGCAGTTGGCGTAGGAGTTCCGCTTTGCCCTCAGCAGCCTGTCTTCTGGGGGACTGCCCTGCTCTTCGTCACTGGGCCCATGGTGGTCGGCGGCCACCTCATCCTGAGCATCCTCCTCTGCGGTCTGCAGAAACGGACTGAACTTGTTGGTGTCGGTGGTGGCCAGCATCTTCTCGATGCTGGCAAACTCCCCGCTGGAGTCTAGGTCCACACCGCCACTGTTGGCTCGGGGCCGGCTCCTCATCCCCCTTTTCCGGCCCCTCTTCTTTGATGAGCCACCTGGCCCCTGCTCCATGGGTGAGGCCACCTCCGGGCTGCTGGCAGGAGGGGGTGGGTCGGTGGACTCTTTTGGGCTTGTGGTGGGAGTGGTGGTGGCTTTGGGGACAGAGCCTCCTAAACCATCAGAAGCCATGTTATTCCCAGCGCTCGTGGGTCCTGGGTCTGCCACCTTGGTTTTCAGCAGGGTGGGGGCCGAGGACACAGATGAGATGATTTGGGCGATGGAGGCCAGTGGGGGCAGCTCTTCTGTCATGGGGGGCTTTGGCAAGAGCAGTGGGGGCTTTGGCCGCAGTGGCCGCAGCAAGGCTGGGCTGCTCAGGAGGGCTGAGTTGCCCAAGAGGGATGGGCTACTGACAAGAGCTGAGGAGTAGATGGGCACGGCCAGCTGAACGGAGCCCTGGAGGGGCTGAGCATGGGGATCCAGGGCAGTGGCTGTTGTAACAGCCGCTGCAGGGCCTGCAGGGCTTCCCAGGATCCCACTGGGTCCCAAAGTCGCTGGCAGGGAAGGGCAGGGGGGTGGACACAGAGAGGGCTGCTCACCGCTCCCTGCATCCTGGTCGGGCTTCTTGGCTTCGCTGGGAGCATCTGTATCCTTATCTCCTTTCCTGAAGTTCTTGGGGATGGACAGGTCGATGGGCTCCATGGAGCAGTCATAGGGCACCAGGGTGGAAGGGCTCAGGAAGGAGGAGACATTTTCCTGCTTCACCTGGACCAGGGCCAGGCCCTTCTGAGAAAAGTCCAGGGGCTCGTTGAAGTCCACTGCAAAGCTGCTGGGGGGCTCCAACTTGACTGGGACGTGTGGAGACAGAGGCTGGGTGGGGCCCCCGTGAAGAAAGCCATTTTGGGGCTCTGGGAAGGCTGCGAGGGGTTTGCGGTCCCCAAAGGCGGTGCAGCCTCCCTCCTCGCCCCTCCCCGAGGCCTCGGCAGACGGCGCCTCCATGGGGCCCAGGCCACCATCCACGGCCAGCACGTAGCTCTCGATGTCGCGCTCGGGAATGTGCAGGTGCTGCTTGAGGATGTGGTGGATGCAGTTGCGCTTGGCCGCGAAGGCGGCGCTGCATTCCTTGCACTCGAAGGGTTTGCGGCCCTTGTGGCCGCCGCCCAGGCCGCGGCTGCAGTGCGTGCGCATGTGGATGCGCAGGGCGCGGTAGTGCTTCAGGTCCTCCCCGCACAGCCGGCACACGGTGTCCGGGGCGCAGAAGGCGTCCACCAGCTCCGCCGCGCTGCTGCTCACATACTCGATGTTTTTCTCGATGTCCTTGCGGGTGGCCTTGAGGTGCTTCTTGCGCAGATGCCGCTCGCAGTTGGCCTTGACAGTGAAGGGGTAGTGGCAGATCTTGCAGATGTAGGGCCGCTCCCCGCTGTGAGTGCGCAGGTGGCGGATGAGCGCCGCCTTGTCGGCCGCGATGTAGTCGCAGATGTTGCACTGGTACGGCGAGATGCCCAGGTGGGAGCGCACGTGGGCGCGCAGCACCCCGGAAAAGGCGAACACCTGGTTGCAGAAGCGGCAGGGGTAGAGCACCTTGCGCATGGCGGGCGTCTTCTTGCCACCGGGCGCTGTCATGATGGCCTTGAGCTCCCCCTCGGTGATCTCTTGCTTGATCTTGGCCTCCATACTCAGCGGCAGCAGGGCCTCGATGATACTGTCCTGCTCCAACTGCGTCTTCATCTCAGGCTGGCCGGGCAGATCCACCCGCGGCTGCTGCAGGAAGAGCTGCGTGGCTGCGTTTGGCGGCGCCCCGGACTTGGACTGCAGCAGGTGCGCGTTGGAGGCCGCTTCCACCGAGCCTTTGAGGAGCTTCAGGGGTGGTGGCGGGAGGCTGGGGCTGATGCAGCCGGGCGAGGCCTGCTGGGCATTGATGAGAGGCGGGGGCGTGGAGGTGGCCACCACCGTCCGTGGTGTGACCAGGGGCTTTGGCTTCAGAGGAGGCATGTGCTTAAAAATCGCCTGCAGGGGGCTGGCGGGGGCCTTGGAGAGAGGCGGAAGACTGATCTGAGGGGGAGCCGAGGCCGCCATCTTCAGAATCTGCTGGATGTCAGCCAGCTCAATGGCTGACTCCCCAGAGATAGGCTTGACCACGATGCTACTGTCCGGCTGGATGATGAAGCCCTTCTGGAAGGGCTGCAGGGACAGATGCTTCATGCTCTCCTTGGTTGCAGGGAGGACCGTGAGAGAACCGCCCAGGGAAGCAGCTTCAAAAGGAGACAGACTCAGCACGCTGGTGCAGCCCGGGTCCTGAGGTAGCTGACACTTGAGTGTCTGGAGCTGTATTGCTTGGTTGTCATCTGGCAGGGGCTCCTCGGTGGGGGCAGGCCTGATGTCTTTGGTGTGCTGCAGGCCCAGCAAGGCCAGGAAGACCTTCTGGTCCGGGGCATCACCAGGCAGGGTCTTGGCCTGCAGTTTCTCCTGGCCCCGGTCCGCAGCAACGTGGGTCTGCTTGTGCAAGGCAAGCGAGGAGAACATGGGGAACGCCTTGTCGCAGGTGTCACAGACGAAGCGGTGCTGCTCGCTGATGCACCTTCGCAGGTTTGTTTCACACCAGGCCTGTGTGGAAACCACCAGCAAAAGCAAGGGCACAAAGGTGAGGATTGAGAAAGAAACCACTAAACACAGATGCAAAAAATATTTGTTGTACAACTGTCCCCGTATACTGCCTTTCTCCATAATATAAAAGGAGGTGACTGCTTGCTTCCTAACCCCAGACTGAATAAAGAAAGCCACAAAACATCTTAAGAATCTTATTTGTTTGATGAATGACATCACTCCCCAGGGTATCTCACCAGAGGTCCAAAGTACATTTAGGTAACAATATCATGAAGCTAGAATTAATTCTTTTTAAAAATGGGTGCATTCACTTATAATTTTGACTAAAATGATACAAAAGCAATTCATGTAATCAAAACGCTTGTACTCCCGTAGTATTCTGAAATTAAAAAAAAAGAAAAGAAGAGATTTCCAGAAAATAATTCTCAAAGAAAGGAATCTGGCCGGGTGCGGTGGCTCATGCCTGTAATCCTAGCACTCTGGGAGGCCAAGGCGGGAGGCTCACTCGAGGTCAGGAGTTTGAAACCAGCCAGAGTAAGAGCGAGATCCCATCTCTACTAAAAATAGAAAGAAATTAATTGGCCAACTAAAAATAAATAGAAAAAATTAACTGGGCATGGTGGCACATGCCTGTAGTCCCAGCTACTTGGGAGGCTGAGGCAGAAGGATTGCTTGAGCCCAGGAGTTTGAGGTTGCTGTGAGCTAGGCTGACGCCACGGCACTCACTCTAGCCTGGGCAACAAAGTGAGACTCTGTCTCAAAAAATAAAAAGAAAAAAAATAAAAAAAAAGGAATCTGGCCCACTTAGGGGAAAAGATATTGGGAACTGATGGTGGTAGCTCATTACTTACATTGGCAAAATATGTATTTGTCTATTTTTATTTCTTTTTGCTTGGAATGAAATGTCTATTGAGAGAAAGTCTTTGGGAAACCAAGTGGCTGTTACAATTGATTGTTATAATAGGAATAATAAAAAGGACTTTGGTTAAAAAAACAACGGGTGCCTTGCAAAAACTAAGTGATGGTGACGCGACAGAGGCTGGAGAACAGGCTACCTCTGTGGTGGCGGGAGAAGGGACGCTGCCTGGGAAGGGCAGGAGGGAGGGTCATCAGGGGTTGCACGGGTATACACATATGGGACAATCCACTGAGCAGGAGGGAGGGTCATCAGGGGCTGCACGGGTATACACATATGGGACAATCCACTGAGCATGAGGCTTGTGTGCTTGAAGAATTTCACTGTTGACACCTTCCATCTCAATTTTTAAAAGTGGAAAAAAATAATTTCAAAGTAGTTTTAGTAGATGTTTTATAACAACGGTCCCCAAGCACCACGGACTGGTTTCATGGAAGACAATTTTTCCACTGAAGTGAGGGGGCAGGGGATGGGAGGGAATGGTGAGCTATGGGGAGTGGCTGTAAATATGGATGAAGCTTGCCTCCCTAGCCCCCTGCCACTCACCTCCTGCCATGCAGCCCAGTTCCTACCAGGCCGAGGACCAGTACCAACCTGTGGCCCTGGGGTTGGGGACCGCAATTTTATAAGCAGAGAACAAACACGATTTGTTTCTTACTCAGTTCAACGACCCAAATTGTTTTTAATAGAAACTACAATATTGGAAATATTTATCTGTAATGCAAATAATAAAGAAATATTTTTAAAAATGCAAATTAAAATTATGATAGTATGATAGGGCTGGGATGGTTTACGATTCACAATTTTAAATGCCAAAGCCCCAAGATCAAGCAGAAGGCACTGATGAGCTAGATTTACAGGCAAGCTAATAGGAAATTCGACCCAAAATAAAAGACCACTCATCCCTCTCAACCCAACAACCCAAGAAGAAGCTGAATTGTAAAAAAAGCTGTAATAACAAATAACAACCAACAATATTTTAAGGAAAGGAAACCTCCAGCTAAGTAAGTTTATTCCAACTAAGTGGACCATGGAAGCAGCTACCAGTTGGTTGCATGAGCTGATCAGAATACCTGAGAAATGCGAGGAAACTTCCTACAGGAGAAGTCAGTGAACCCTAAGTCATGGAAGCCAGCAGGAATCGAAGGGTTGTTCTGTATGAAAGGCCTTCCCGTTGCATCCCTGGGAAGCTGTTTGTGGACAAGCGCATTGTGGCGCAGCAGACCTCGATGTGTTCGGAAGGTGACGCAGCAAATGTCACATCTAAGAGAAGAGAGGGACAAGATACGAGGAGGCAGTGAGTAGGAGTTTCCACTGTCCATTAGCCTTATTACATTTTTTGTTGCTTCATTTCAATGGAACAAAATAAAAATGATAGGATATCAAGAAGCCAGTCTGGCTGATTAGCACCAAAAAACTTCCTTTTTTTTAAAAAAATTATATTCTACCAACTTCTGGATATCAAACCTTTGCAGGCAGCACGAGATGTACATATGACCCAAACATCCGATGTCTATACCACGAGAGATAGTTGGGAACTTGAAGCCACCGTTGCAGACTCACTTGTTCTTACCCAAATCACGCAGTGTAGACAGGGATCAGAGGGAGAAGTTTTCTCCCTCTCTTAGCTCAATGGATTCTAATTACTACGTAAATGTTTAAAAGTCAAAAGGCATATATTTATGTAGCATCTAGAGCAATCACATCAGCATCCCTGGCATCTGATAGGGATAAAATGATTATTTTAACTTCTCCAATTGAATTAGAAGTGACAATGATTGTGTATTAAACTGTGATATTACCATAATCACTATCTGAAAGACAATCAGAGCTCTCATCTACTGAGTCCATACTAAGTGCAAGGCACCCTGCCAGGGTAGCAAATATGACACCCCTGGCAGGCAGGTACAGGTCACAACCCTCATCTTGCAGATGAGGACACTGAGAACCAAAAGTGTTAAGCAACATGACTGAGGTAACATAGCCAGTAAGAAATAAAGACGAAATGTGAGCCCAACTTCCTGCTGTCCCCCCTTCCTTGAAAGACTCCCACAAATGCAGTCTACTTCAAAATCATGGCCCTTCACGTTAGAGATGATTGTCACTATCCTAAACGTTCTGGGCCACATGGATGCACAGCGAACACCACGTTATGATTCTGTCTCTGCTATTCATACCAGTGTTGTCTTTTAGGTCTTCACTGAGAACCATATTAAAAAGGATACAATAATTGGGACATTATCAACATCCCCTAGACCTGCAATGAATAAAGTCGTAACTAAAGTCACATGTGGCTGTTTAAATCTAAATTAATTAAAATTTCCTCAGTCACATTAGGCTGGTCGTAAGGGCTCACATGTGCCGGGCGGTGCAGATGCGGCACGCTTCCAGGACTGCGGCCGGCCCTGTTAGACAGCGCCGTGTGCCAAGCAGCATTCCGTGTGCTGACACACACAGGTGTGTTTGGTCCCCACAAAACCTCTAAGGTAGGCTCTGTTATCCCTATTTTACAGTGAGGTAAAGCAACTTGCTCACATTTGTACTGCATACACCTCAATGAGAACTTTTTTTGCTTTGAAATTCTTCTCTGAAAACAGAGATAACGAAATCCCCCATGAAGCAGCCAAACTCACTTTCGCAAAGTGTTGAAAGAAAGAAGTGCCAGGTATGTGCAGCGTGCTTGCCTTATCACGCCGTCGCAGGCATGGCAGAACTCAACCCCGCCACACAGCCACCTCTCCTGCCTCCTCTCCCCACCAAGATCCCTGTCGTCAGCCGATGCATTTAGAACGCCGGCTTCCCCCGAGCCACGCACAGCACAATGTTCTTCTGAGGGGATTCTGCCGAGCTCACCAGGGTGGTCAAGGCGCCAGGGAAAGGATGGATCCAGATAACCCAGAACACTTTTAGGGACTGGAAATCCGCACGCTGGGGGCTCAGATGCCTACGTTTCCAGGGGTCTAAGCCACAGGCTCCGCGACAGATTCAGCAGGGAGGCAGACGCGCAGGTCGTCTTCCTGGCTAGAACGTGCTGAAGGCTCCGCGCCGCACATGCAGAGGGGAGGGCGGCCCTTGGAGGCCTCCGAGAGCCTCGTGCTGCCCTCCGTGCTCCTGGACACGGAGCCCCCTCCTCTCTCCCACCGCCCTCACTCAGGCCCCCGCCCCAGCTGAGCGGCACACGCCACGTGGTCACCAGACCACTGCCTTGCCACTGTCAGCTGAACCCTCTGTACTGGACCGAAAGATGACAGAAATGTCTGAATCAGATATGTAATGAGTATTTATAAATGAAATACGGGGCACCTTCCATTTGTTTTGAAATTATGTGGGTCGGGGAAGAGACGAGGCAAACTTGGCTGTGAGCTAATAATTCCTGAAACTGAATGAGGGCACATGGGGTTCCTACTCTCCTCTCTACTTCAGCATATGTTTGAAATGTTCCTTAATATGTCCAGAAGAGAGAAATATCGCATAACAAAGAGTGGGCTGACATTTTTTCCTCTTTTCCCAAGCTTTAATGATGTCCAGACCACTCTCTATAGCACACATATGCAGGGGCTCAACTTATAAAAACTCTAGAAGACGAATCCCTGCATGGGAGTGCCCTCATGGCACATGGCACATGAAGGCGCCCACTGCATGAGGGGCTGGGGCTCAGGAAGCCTCCACAAACGTGGGCTTTATGCTCAGGGCAGGCTGGGCGCTCATGCCTATGGCCCATCTGGTTTGGTACTTAATGAACTGAGATAGTTCATGGGAGCCGTGGGGCCTGGAAGTTGGCCCGCGCCTTCCCTGAGAGGTGAAAATAAGGAGGGGGGAAGAAAGACTCAAACGGAGACCAAGTGTAAAGGCAGCGAGACCTGTCACCCCGAGGATCCTGCAGGTGTTTCCCCCTGAAGTCTACAATAACTCACTCTTCTTGTAATAATTAGCACTTACTACCTATCTTTTGTGTACAGTATTTGCAGTGTGTTTTAAATTAATTTTTATTAGTGCTGTGTACCGTCCTGGATGCTGGGACGTTGCAACACACACCTATACTCATTTCATCCAAACAATCCAGTGAAATAAAAAACATCAGTGTGAACGAATGAGTCTATGGTCACTCGGCCACACCTGAAGTCCTTCGTGTATCCCCAGCACGCCTCTCCTGAGTACAGCAGGACTCCAGATGGAAGAGGAGGCTTGCTAATCAAAGCCAGTCCAAAGGAGAGCTCATAAAATAATTCACACACACCTTAAATATTGTATTTAAGCAAACACATACATACACGGTATGTCTAAAACATCTCATTATGTATTTGATGTAAATGTACATGAATATCATAAAATGATCCTTCCTATTGTGGATTCTGTATTTACAAATTTGTCTACTTGCTAAAATTTAGTTGTAAATCCCAAATCACTACTTGTGGTGCTTCTGTGGTCATCACAGGTACTGTGTTTCCCCAAAAATAAGACCTACCCATATAATAAACTCTAGCAGGATTTCTAAACATTTGCGCAATATAAGCCCTACCCCCAAAAATCAGACCTAGTGATGGGCGTGGTTACACAACGTATCTGCACAACCATGCATTTCGTCTCGGAGCGGGTAAAGAAGAGGAGCAGCCCTTCTTATCTGCCCCATGAGAGCTCTATTGCTCGACATGAGAGATTGGGGCGAATGGTTCTAAAGGAAATAGAGTCGCAAGAAATTCAGGATGGAATTTGGGGTTTGGAGAGTTATGATCATGTTCCAGAAGAAGACGACTTAACTATATTTGAATAAATGTAGATTGTTGTACCGTACTTAAAAAGATAACACATTCCCTGAAAATAAGCCCTTGGGTGTCTTCCTGAGGAAAAATAAATATAAGATCCTGTCTTATTTTTGGGAAAACATGGTATGTGCAGAGTAATGATAAATTTGGGTTGCCTGACACACGTTTCTAGCTGAGGTAGGAAGAGACTACACTCTGCTTTTAATTCAGCTTTCATGCTGTAAATAAACGTCCTTTTGCTATCTATTTTGTGCCATGGTTTCGAAATTTTGTTGGTGATTTCAATGTTTAAAATGTCCCCAGGCACTGTCTGATGTCTCTAAGCAAACGAGGCCATGTGACATGCCTTATGAAGAAAGCACGTGCGTTACATGAGCTTCATCCAGGCACGAGTGATGGTGCTGTCAGCCACTGAGTTCGATGTTAGTGAATCAACAATATATGTTAAATAAGGTACCTTTAAACAAAAACACACGTAAAACAAGGTTATGTATCGATCAGTTGACAAAAATGTGACTAGAGGCCCTCAGGGACCTAACCCTAGGAGCAGTGGTGCAGTATTCACAGCTACTTCACAGAATCCACCTGCCACAATAAAGAACCAACTGTACAGACATTTGCCAAACTTCCTACGGAGGGCCAAGGACTCGTGTTTCAGTCTTGTTCCACTGACTAAAGTTCCACATCATTTGTCATTGCATGAATCCTACTCACAATACAACATCTTTGATTTCCAGTTTTAGATTCTTTAAAGTGGAGAAAGAACTCAGATTTTTACAAACCAAACTAAAGCAGAATCCTAGATTTTTACAATTATTTCTCTCAACTGCACTTGCCGTCTACTTTAGCAAGTAGACAAATTTATAAATACAGAATCCACAATAGGAAGGATCATTATTTTATGATATTCATGTACATTTACATCAAATACATAATGAGATGTTTTAGACATACCGTGTATATGTGTGTTTGCTTAAATACAATATTTAAGGTGTGTGTGAATTATTTTATGAACTCTCCTTTGGACTGGCTTTAATTAGCCAGTGCCTGTGCCTGTACAATTATTTACAATTATTTCTCTTGCCTACCCTAAATTTGACAGCAGTTAAAAAAACATTCTTTCCACTGTGCACTGCAAACAAGCTTTTCCAATCTAAGTTTCTAGAGAGACTCTTCTTTTCTTTTGTTAAACAATATTTCATTGGCTTATATAAAATTTAATTAAATTATAGTAAAATGATTACAAGTATTACTAACACAAACAGGCCAGGAAGACTTAACACTGACTCTCGGTAGCATGCAAGTCAACCACAAAAGGTGGGCAGGTGGGCCTGAAAAATGAGCTGCTAACTTCCTGAGCTCTGAACCATATCTTACCAGTAAAATAATTTTTGAGCGTGTGGCCTAATCTGTTTGCTCTTTAACTGAGAAGTATGTATGTGTGTATATATCTGCCTATGTATTTATACAAATAACATACATTAGCATGTATATATATAT